CGGCACCTCGCTGCCTGGGGGGGCGGCAGCCCCTGCCCAGCTCGCCCAGCGTGCTCCTCCCCTCGCAGGTGTACGTCGCGGCCTTCGCTGTCTCGGCCTACTGCTCCACCTACCACCGCGCTGGCTGCAAGCCCTTCAACCCGGTCCTCGGGGAGACCTATGAGTGTGAGCGGCCCGACCGCGGCTTCCGCTTCATCAGCGAGCAGGTGCACCGGGGAGGGTCCCGCTGCAGATGCAGCCTGGAGGGCTAGAAGAGGCCCGAGTCTGGAGGCCACACCAGGAAGCTGCTCTAGGGGGCGCCCTTGGGCCGGCTCCGGAAGGAAGAGTTAACCGGGGGGAGCTGGGAGCGTTGGGATATTCCAGGGTGGGGCACAACGGAAAGCTTCGAGATGGGAATGGAAGACAGGCAGTCCAGACTCTGAAGAGCCTAGGAGAAGGGAAGGGGGATATGGGGTTTTGTTTCAAAATCCTACAGGCAGATGTCATCCCAGCACTCAGGAGGCTGAGGAAGGAGGACCGCCTTGAGGTCAAGGCCAGCCTAGGCTAGTGAGATTGTCTCGAAAGAAAAAAAAAAAACCCAACCCCAAAGCTCTGAACTGCACTTTGTAATCGTGGTGGCTGGTGCAGGCCACCAGGAGAGCCGATGGCGCCCACCCTGAGGTGCTGTGCCGTCCTTGCTGGACTCAGTGGCCGCAGGATCCTCACTGGAGGGCCTGGGCGTGGCCAGTGAGAGGGAGCGGTCTGGAGGATTCTGTGGTCAGTGGAGGGGCCCAGGATGGAGCACATACGGGGGGAAACTGAGTCAAGGAGAAAGGGCTGTGTGGCTGGCTTTCCTCTGGGAGATGTGCAGGAGGCTGTGGGCTGGGTGTCGGCAGCACAGCCGTGGTCGGTGGGACCCGGGGCGTCACTGGCTTCCTGAGCAAGGCAGGTTTCAGGGTAAGAACGGGTGGATCACAGGGGAGACGGGCAGGGCTTTTAAAACAGAAAACCTTGCCCGTTTCCGAAAACTGACCACGAAGGAAGGAGTGGCCACTGGAGGGAAGGTGAAGGGCTGAGGCCGTTCGCTGGCTTGGATTTTAAGCACTTTTGAAAAGTTGGGGGAAATTTCCAGTCCAGAGCGGTTGGGGACCTGGAAGTCTTGTGGGAACCATGGGTGACAGGACTGGGAGAGAGGCAGGAGGGCAGGCTGGGGCTGTGGTGTTTCTGGCGCTGAGCGTTTCCCAGGTGTGAGCGGCTTTCAGGGAGGGGTGAGGGATCCTCGGGCGGGGCAGCGTTGGGGGGGCACGGGCACAGCTGTGGGGACTGGATGGCCTGAGCAGGGCTGGGGGGTCCCAGGGGAGGAAGAAGGGGAATCCAGGGGACCTCGGGGGGGGGTGTCCAAGGACGAAGGGAAGAGACCCGAGCTCTCGCTGGCCCGGCTCACAGAGGGAGTGAGGTACCGCGGGCTCTCGGGGACACCTCCAGAGAGCGCCTCTGTTCTG